CAGATGCCAGGTGCCAGTGCCCTGAGAGGGAACATTAGGTCTCCCCAGTCAGACGGAGGTCTCCCCAGTGAGACGGAGGTCTCCCCAGTGAGACGGAGGTCTCCCCAGTCAGACGGGGGTCTCCCTAGTCAGACGGAGGTCTCCCCAGTCAGAACAAGGTCTCCCCAGTCAGACGGAGGTCTCCCCAGTCAGACGGGGGTCTCCCCAGTGAGACGGAGGTCTCCCCAGTCAGACGGAGGTCTCCCTAGTCAGACGGAGGTCTCCCCAGTCAGACGGAGGTCTCCCTAGTCAGACGGAGGTCTCCCCAGTCAGACGGGGGTCTCCCCAGTCAGACGGAGGTCTCCCCAGTGAGACGGAGGTCTCCCCAGTCAGAACAAGGTCTCCTCAGTCAGACGGAGGTCTCCCCAGTCAGAACAAGGTCTCCTCAGTCAGACGGAGGTCTCCCCAGTCAGACGGAGGTCTCCCCAGTAAGACGGAGGTCTCCCCAGTCAGACGGAGGTCTCCCCAGTCAGAACAAGGTCTCCCCAGTCAGACGGAGGTCTCCCCAGTCAGAACGAGGTCTCCCCAGTGAGACGGAGGTCTCCCCAATGAGACGGAGGTCTCCCCAGTGAGACAGAGGTCTCCCTAGTCAGACAGAGGTCTCCCCAGTCAGAACGAGGTCTCCCCAGTCAGAACAAGGTCTCCCCAGTCAGATGGAGGTCTCCCTGGGGACTAGGCTGTCCCCCATCAGAAGAGCCCTTGGAAGGCAGGGACGACTCTCCTCCAGTCCCCAGGGGAGGGTCCCATCCTCGAGTTTCTTAAGCAGGAGACAGTCACCTCTCCTTCCCAGGGTGGGGCCCCCCAAGGACGCGAAGGGCCCGGTACGTCCCGGCCCAGCTCCCTGAGCGGGCCTCGGCCTGGGCCCTCCTCGGTGCCCCGCGTTGGCACGGTGCCCGGGGCCAGGCTCTGAGCAGGGATGGGGTTTCAGCCTGATCTTTACCACCAGCTGTGTGTGGCCAGGCTGCTGGGAATTTGAGAAGCTGGTGCCAGAGGGAAAACAGCTGAACCCGGGGAAGGGGACACTCTGCCCTTAAGCCCGAGGCCGGGGGACCGCGTCGGGGTGTCATCCCCAGGTCCTGGGCTCCGCCGGCCACTGGGAGCAAGGGGGCTCACGGGCATGTCGTGCCCGAGCCAGGGAACGAAAGCAGGATTCGCCTCTTCTGCGAGAGGTGTGATTAGGTTACGCTGCAGGGAGAGGGGGTGTGAAATGTCACCACCGACACCAGCCTGGGCTCCGGAGACCGACAGGAACAGGCAGGACACCTGTCGGCGGCCCGAGCAGCAGCCTGGAGATTTCCAGAAAAGGCTGGACCGAGGGCTGGGCAGCCCCTCTGCCCCCTCCCGGACCGACTGCCCATCGCAAGGGCAACAGTGTCTGACCCAGGACCCGCCCCATGGCGGCGGATTGCCACCTTCATGCATGGGGCCTGGCGTGGCACAGAGGACGGGCAGAGGGCGGGCAGAGGGCAGGCAGGCGGGTGGAAACCACTGGACCCGTCTCAGGTCCCAGCGTCCTGAAACCTCCATCCATTGCGATGAGTGGGACCCGGGCAGAACAGGACGAGAGGCACCCCAGTGTGCCTGCTGGTTGCGTCCGGCTTCCAGGAAGGAGCGCCAGCCCCCTCCAGGTCCGGGGGCTCAGGAGGTCCCCTGGAGCCCAGGGCCCCTCTGCGAGGAACACTGAGGGGCTCTCGCACCACCCTCGTGGGGGCTTTGCTTCCCGTCCCGCCCAGCTCCCCCTCTGCCGGGCTCCAGAGTGAGCTTTAAAACGCAAATGGATGCTCTCCAGCCGGAGGACAGAGGTCAGGTTCTCAGGTGGCTGTCACAGCTTACCTGTGCACACTCCCCGCAAGCTGCTCAGCCCAGGCCTCCCCGCTCCCCACTCTACGGGTCCCCCAGAGACAGCTGTGACTGGCCACTCGACCTGCCTGCTCAGGAGGCCGCCTGGTTAGCTCACCTTTGTCCCCCAGGGCCCGGCACAGGGCCGGTGGTCATCACACCTTTGCTGAATGAACGAAACCCCTGCCTCTGACCCAGGGGGACCCCGAGTCCACGTGTGCACACACACCTCCCCTCGGAGAGCTCACCCGGCTCTGTGCTAGCAAGGACGGGGGACCTTCACCACCCTCGGAGCCGCACTGACCTCACTTTCCGTTACTTCGTCCGAGTCCTCTCAGGCCTGGCTCACCGGGGGCAGCACCCTGTTCTCTCGGGAGAGAGCAGCGGCCCTTCCGCCTCATCCGCTGGGCTCACCTGCCCTCCACTCTCATGAAGCTGTTACCAGCCACACTGTCCCCAGTTCCCACCTTCCTGTCTGCCCAGCTGTCCGGGCCACCCCTTCTGTCCCGAGAAAGCTCACCTCCTCCGGGAAGGCCTCCTGCCGCACGACTCCCGGGGTCTCCCAGTGCCGTGCGCCCCCCGGCAGGATCTGAGGGATCGTGCCCTCTTGTCACTCGGGGTCTGTGACTAGCTCCCCAAACGTGTTGCCCGTTTGGCGCCACTTGGGTCTGTGATCCCCATGAGAACAGTGACTTTATGTGTCTGTCTGACTGACGGTGTCTGGGGTCCCAAGGGATCAGCTGAGCTGTAAGGCTAAGGCTCCGGATAACGAGACACCCCCGCTCGGCGGGGCCAAACCAACAGCGCGCACAAAGCAAACCGAGCTAAGCCGCTAAGAGCCGAAAGCTTCGCGAGGCCAGGTGTTGGAGGAACCAAATGTCACAGGACCCTTCCAACTCTGACCTCCGGGAGGCTGGGGCATTAACCCTGCCGGCCGTGCCCTGCCAAGCCCGGCTGGAGGAGGAGGAGGGAGGCGGGGCAAGTGGGAGGGGCAGAGGAGCCCACAGAGGCCACGGTGACCTACATCTGTCCCAGCGCTGCCGTCCAGTCCACCGCAGTCCCTCCAGAGGCTCTGGCAGGACGCAGCAGCTGGAGACAGGGAGGAGGCGGCAGACTGGAGGCGGGAGGCCAGCGCTGCCCAGGTAAGTGGGCCCTGCACACCTGGCTGCCCACCTGGGGCGGGGGTAGGGCATCAGTGAAGACACCTGAGTGGTCTCTAAAGTGTCCACTTAAGAGGGGCAGGCAGAGGGCAGGAGGTTCGCCCGGGACATCTCCTGGCAGCCAATCCCGCCCTGGGGTATATGGTCCCCCGTCCGGACAACTACAGGATATTGGAGAAGAGGGGTTCCGGGGGCCTGTCTGGGTGCTTCTGCCCTGGCTCTGGTTTTCCGGGCTCTGCTGGTTTACAGCGCAAAATGGTGAGCAGGTTGAAAACCCGACTAGCTGTCCAGCATCCGGTCTCGGGGCCGGACGGGGTGCACTGAACCCAGCGGAGAAACCCCGGCTGAGGGAGCGGGGACAGTGAGAACCGGGGTCCACTGGCGAAGCAGCCGCAGGCCGGGGCAAGGCTGGGGGTCCTGCTGAGGCCTTGCTGGGACAGGCTGGAGCAAAGGCTGTGCTGAGAACCGGGCTCGTCTCGGGGGGAACAGGGCACAGAGACCAGGGTTCATCCCCTCTGTCTGCACACCCGCCGAGCTCCTGCCCGTTCATCACTGACCTTGCACCCCGCCGGGCTTCTTCCTGAGAGAGTGGAGGTCCAGAGTGTGCCCTGGCTACCATGGGGCCCTCCGTCCTGCCTGTGGGGCCCTGCGTCTCGCTCCCTCTCGGCTGGGACCTGCAGGCAGGAGGCTGGAGGACAGGACCCTGTTAGCATTACCTCGTCACCGTGACAAATGGCCTTGTGAGTGACTGAGCTGGTGGTGATGATGACAGGTGATGCAGGTGGCAACTAGGAGCCCAGCTGAGCTGCTCCAGGGTGGGGTCATGGACAGGGGCCAGGAGGCTGTCATGGGCGTGGGTGGGACAGGGGCCCCCGCCAGCTTGGCGGCCGCCCTCCGTCCTGGCGCTGCCTCGTGACTCCCTGTGGCCCTGTGGCCGTGGCCCTGTGACCGCTCCAGAACGCCCTGGCATTCCAGCGTGGCGGGCAGTGGCTGGGCTGTGGAAGGGACACCGTGGGGCAGCCGTGCCAGTGGGTGGGCAGCTGAGAAATGGACTATGTCATGTGTGCGGGAATGTGCTCTGTCATGTGATCCACCCTGAGGACAGGGCTCTTTGGGTAGGAAACGAAGTCTGTCTCCGAAACAGCATGCCATGGCCACGGGCCAACCACCTCCGAGGTGGGACGGCTGGGCGCCCGGTCAAGGCGGCCCCTCCCCTCCAGTCCAGGGCGCTCCTCCAGGGCGTCTCCCAGCCCAGCCTCTCCCGGGGGACACGTCCCTCAGCCTCATGGACTGATGCAATGAGAGGAAATGGGGGGCAGTGGTGGACGGAAGAGGCTAGAAAACACTTGTCCACCAGACAGTAGAGTTCACGGGACTGGAGGGGGGCAGACGGATTTCCAGGCACAAGAGTGGCCAGGTGAGGGGCTGTCCTCCCGGCCCGGAGATTGGCAGGACCCCGACTGGCTGCGGGCGGGTGGCGGGGAGCTGCCGGCGGGGGGGCCCCTGGAAAACCTGTTTGTCCCTGGGAAAGTCGCGTCCAAAGTCAAGGGGGCCATTTGAACTGGGAGAATCCTGGAGGCCAGGAGCTGGATCTCCTGAGGTTCGGGGGGCTGTCTCGCCCTTCAGGTGGTCACCGGGCCTGGGCTTCCACCTGGCAGCCAGGCTACCAGCAGTTTGTGGGCTCGGCCCCACATGTCTCCTTTACCTGGGCCTGGGGCAGCGTCCCCCCCTCCCAGTCTCCGGGAAATCGTTTTGCTGGCCCGGGAATTTCAGAAAACCCATCAACGTCGTTAGTCATGATGAGACAAGCTTCTGGGACAGCAGCTGCCCCGGGTCCCCCCAGATGTCGGCCGATGCCCTGGTACTGTGGGGGGATGGGGTGAGCCCGCTGAGCCTCCAGGAGCAATTCCATCTCTGTTCTCAGGAGGTCCCTCGCCACCCTCCGGAGCCAGAGAACCAGCCATGGCAGGTGAGGAAGGGGGGGCGGGGCACCTGTCTGCGCTCTCTGGGCTTTGAGTCGTTTTCCTGAACAAACGTCCAGAGCTCCCACGCGGGCCCTTCTCCTGGGAGGAACCCCTCCGTGCGCCTCCAGCTTCTCCCAGGGACACTCCCAGGGTCTCCCTCGCGTGCCCTGCCCGCTTCCCAGGAACCCTCATCACAGACTGGAGGGGCACAGCCAGACGCACCTCCCCAGGCAGCAGCTGTGATCCGTCCCTCCGGTGCGGGCACAGCGAGGGGTCTCCTGCTCCGGGGCGGGTCAGCGCTCTGCTGTGCCAAGGTCCGCCCGCCGGGGGCCAGGCCCATCTCCCTCTTCTCGTGTCCTCAGCAAAGCCCGTCAAGAAGCACGGTGTGACCATCCGGCAGCTGGTGGAGGAGGTCCCCGAAGGCTGCAGCCTGCCAGACTTCGAGCAGAAGCCCGTCACCATGGCGCTGGCCGAGGGTGAGGCTGGGGGAGCTGCCGAGGGCCCCCTTTCCTCCCCCCAGGCGGGACAAGGACATGGGACACCGTCTCGTCATTGAGAAGGGCCCTGGGAGGTCATAGTTTCCCATGGAGCCGGCCCTTGTGGGGGGGTGGAGCTCCCAGGCTTTGTGCAGAGCTGGGGGTCTCTCTGAGGCCGGGGGGTCTCAGGGCCAGTGCCTTCAGGCCCCCAGCAGTCATTCCTTCCCGAGGTCTCTGACCCGCCTTTCACCCACTTGCAGAGACCCCCCCCCAAGCCCTGCTCACCCTCCCTCAGGGGTCCCCACTCCTGCCACGCAAAGCCAGGCAGGACGGCCTCTGGGCACCCGGAGACCGCTGCCCCGGCTGGCATCGTAAGAGTCCTCGAGCCCGGGGCAGCGGGCAGGCACCCTCCTGCAGTGGGCAGTCGGGGTGCGAGAGCAGTGCGGATGACACAGCAGCTCCATGAAGGGCACCGCCCCTCACCCCTCCTGCCGCAGGGAGAAATGCCATCCTGCGGGCTGTGGTCTGCGGGGAGCCCAGGCCCGAGGTGCTGTGGCAGAGCAGCAAGGGGGACCTCAGCAACTGCAACAAATACCAGATCTTCTCCGCCCCCAGCAGCAAGGAGCACGCGCTGCAGGTGAGAGCCCCGCTCTGCCCCAGGGGCTCCCCAGCCTCCTCCAATCCCCGGAGCAGGAGACCTTCCTGGAGGAGGGTGAGCCCACTCAGCTCAGCTCAGCTCAGCTCTGCGGCTCCGGGTGGCCTGAGCCGGGGTGAACCCGGCCGGCTCGCAGGTACCGCTGCCGACCACCTGGGGGCGCTGCAGCCCGAAGCACAAGGAAAGCTCCGCAGTCTGGCTGCAGGGCAGCAAGCCCAGGCCCACCGGCTTGGACAGAAGTTACTTTTCCTCTGTACATCTCCCCCGCACCTGCAGACTGGGCAATAACGACCTGGTTTAGGGCCCCCGTGAGTGTCAGAGGGCATGTGAAGAGCGTAGCCAGCCAGTGCCTCGGCCGGTGAGCGGCCAGTGCGTCCACCAGTCGTGGACCCGGACTGACCACTCGGCATAATTTATGCCGTTTAATCCCGACCATCCGCTACTTTTTCAGGTGTTCTTGTGCTCACTTTATAAGGTAATAGCGTGAACAAAGAAAAAGAAGAAAGAACGGTTCAGAGAGGTTCGGTAAATTGTCCAAAGTCACACAGCCCGACACCCAGACCCTGAAATGAGCTCTTTCTGCCCCTGATGGCAGACGTGGGTTTGCCCGCGCTCCGCTGTGGGCTTGGTTGGCCTCGGGCTCTGTCTTTCCTGCCGAAGTCTCCGAGCCCTGAGCACAAGGCCGTGTCTCCGTACCCCTGGCCTATCGCCATGTCTAGTAGCAGAGGAGGGGACAGTGCGAGCCCGCTCCCCTGCCCTTGGTCTCTGCAGATCAACAAGCTGACCGGCGAGGACACGGACGTGTACCGCTGCGTGGCGGTAAACCCGTACGGAGAGGCCGTGTGCACGGCCAGGCTCACCATCATCGAAGGTGGGCATGACCCTCCTGTGCTCCAGCCCTGGGGAGCCCGGGAGGGTGGGGAGGGGAGGGAAGACCCAGGAGGACTCAGGTGACAGAGGCTGGCATGGTGACTGGCCGCAGGGCCAAACACTGGTTCGGCAAGATGGGGCCTAACCCCGAAATGGCAGCTCTCTGGTGACAGAAAGCTCTCAGCTGTTCCTCCGGATGTGGTCACTTCCCTCGAGTAAGCCACCTCCCTGACCCCTGGAGACCTGTGAGCGGGTCATCCCTGCGTGAGGTGCTGAGCAGGTGTCCCGTCTTAGCCATGCGAAGGCTCTGGGGTATCGGCACGCGTGACGGACAGACCCTGTGCCCTGCCCATCCCGCTGGGCTGTCACCACGCGCCAGGGGACGGGAGGTCGGGGCCTGGGCTCAGGTGTTCTCAGGGAGACCTCAGGGTCGGGCTTCTCTCCCTGCCTCTCCCCGCTGACTCCTTCCTCTCCTCCCCGACGGTCCAGTTGGCTTTCGGAAGAAACGAAAGAGGAACACAGAACCTCAGGAGGGTAGGTGGAAGGGTTGTCAGATTTCTGTGGGGCCTTGGGGGGATGCGCTACTCCCTGCCTGGGGTTCCCCACTTGGCCAGGCCCCCACAGAGGCCTCATGGGTCCTCACCAGTCCACAGGAGGGCCCCTTTCGGAAGCTTGGTTGTTGGCCACGGACCACACACCCTCGTGCAATCCCTTCCCCACCCACCCACTTGGTACGGGAGGGCCCTGCCTGGGCCCCATGGACGCACGTCTGGGGTTGGGGCCTCATTCCCGTCCCTTTTCCAGACCTCAGCAAGGAGCTGATGGAGTTACGGAAGATGCTGAGGAAGAGGTGGGTGTGGGCCGGCCCCTGGGGGGGAAGCACTGTGGTCCCCGCCCCGGCTCCTACCGTGAGCACGCGGGGCTCAGTCCTCGCCTCTGCCTTGGACGCAGGCAGGGAGGCTGGGCTGCAGGTGCGCTGGGACGGGGGTGCCAGGGGTGGGCGTCCTGGGCTCAGCGCGGCCGCTTCTGGGCTCCGTCCTGATGCCATCGCCGCTCCTCTTGGGGGCCCGATCGCTCCGTGGTGAGGCAGGCGCTCCACTAGGGCAGTGGTTTTCAAACCTTCATTTTATTTTATTTCTCAGAGAGAGAGGAAGGGAGAGAGAGATAGAAACAAACCTCAGTGTGAGAGAGAAACATCAACCGCCGCCTCCTGCACGCCCCCTACTGGGGCTCGAGCCCGCAACCCAGGCATGTGCCTGACCGGGAATTGAACCCGGACCTCTCAGTCCATGGAGCGCTGACTGATCCGCTGAGCCACACCGGCCAGGCTTAAAACCTTTTTTAAACAACAAGACAATTGCCCCCAAAGACCCCTTGCGTGGAAATCCACAGTGCAAGTTGTTAGGTGTGGGCTTCTGGAAAGCTAGAGCCGTGGTCAGCCCCAGATCCCAGTCTGTGCACCCCTTTCCTCGAGTACAGGGAGGGCAGCTCCCAGGCCTCTGACCTGCCGCCCTGCCCCCCAGGGCTCCACTTCCCAAGAAGAAGATCGACCCGGAGCAGGTGTGGCAGCTGCTGATGATGGCGGACCGGAAGGACTACGAGAGGCTGTGCATGAAGTACGGCATCGTGGACTTCCGCGGCATGCTGCGCAAGCTGGAGAGGATGCGCAGGGCGCGGGAGGACAGGATGGCGCAGGTACCTGCCCTGCACGGCGCCTTGCCGGCCGTCGCGGGAGCTGGGCTGGGAACCAGGCCCGGGAAACCAAGCCAAGTGGAGGGCCCGCCCTCATCCAGCCCCAGTGTGGTGTCTGGCCAGAGATCCCGGTTCCCAGGTCAAGGTCCTGGCTTTGAAACCTGCCTCCGATACTAAACCTGGGCTTTGGACAAGTGAGGGCCACGGCGCTTGGTTTCCTTATTCGTAACACGGGGGTTGTAGTCATCTCCACCCCACAGGGCTGTTGAGGGGGGGTATGAGAGGATGTAGTGAGAGCGCTTAGCTGAGAGCCCGACACAGAGTGACGGCTTTCTGTCAGCCATCACCATCACCACCAATATCACCACCACCACCAATATCACCATCACCACCAATATCACCACCACCACCAATACCACCACCACCACCAAGACCACCACCACCACCAATATCACCACCACCACCATATCACATCACCACCAATATCATGATCACCACCACCATTCACAATACACCACCAATACCACCACCACCACCAATATCACCACCACCACCAATACCACCATCACCACCAATATCACCATCACCACCAATATCACCATCACCACCAATACCACCACCACCACCAATACCACCATCACCACCAATACCACCATCACCACCAATACCACCACCACCACCAATATCACCACCACCACCAATATCACCATCACCACCAATATCACCATCACCACCAATACCACCACCACCACCAATACCACCATCACCACCAATACCACCATCACCACCAATATCACCATCACCACCAATACCACCACCACCACCAATATCACCATCACCACCAATACCACCACCACCACCAATACCACCATCACCACCAATACCACATCACCACCAATATCACCACCACCACCAATATCACCATCACCACCAATATCACCATCACCACCAATACCACCACCACCACCAATACCACCATCACCACCAATATCACCACCACCACCAATATCACCACCACCACCAATACCACCATCACCACCAATACCACCATCACCACCAATACCACCAACACCACCAATACCACCATCACCACCAATACCACCACCACCACCAATATCACCACCACCACCAATATCACCACCAGTATCGCCATTACCACCACCAATATCACCACCAATATCATCATCACCACCACCATTACCACCACCAATATCAACACCACCAATATCACCACCAATGTCACCATCACCACCATCGTCCGTCACCGTCACAGACCTTGGGGACCTGTCTTATTTCCCAAGGCTTCCGGTGAGGGAACGCTACTGCTCCCATTGGCTCTCTCATTCTAGTGTCTTATAAACTGCACAGGAAGTTATTTTCTGTGTTGAACCTAATTATAGCCTAAATCTAATTTTTCTTCTGGAAACGCAAAACACCTTGCTTTCATCATCCTGAAAGTGGCATTTTACCAGACTCCCATCTAGGGCCTCAGATCTCTCTCCTCCAAGCTTCTCATCTGCTTGGACACAGGACCCCACACAGGGCTTTGCACCGAGTAGGCGCTGAACTCATTTCTATCGGATGAAATAACAGATGAACACAGAACCCTGTTGTGTTCTTGGAGCCCCTGGACACTGGGTTCTTTCTTCCTCCCCTTCCCAACCTAACATCTCATCTGGAGAATTTCCTTTTTCGAGGGTCTAAACCCCCACTGGTAAAAGGGGCAGTGCGTGTGTGACTGGGAGGTGGGGGGTCTGAGTCCCCCGGTGGGCTTGTCTTCCCTAGTACCTCAACGCCGTCTCCAACATGAAACACATGAAGGTCACCAAGGAGGGGGTCGCCTTCTTTGAACTGGACCTGGACCTCAAGGATCCCGAGAGCAACATTTACCTGTATAAGGTGAGGCTAGAGGGGCCCCTGGAAGAGAGGGCTCCGGGGCAGCAGCTGCGGGTTCCCTAGGTCCCCCTGGGAGGACCGCTGAGTGCACAGGTGGAGCCCCTGGTTGGACTGAGGTCAGACCCTGGTGCAGTAGCCCAGAGACCTCTCACCTCTCACGGAGAGCCCAGGTTCTCCCGCCGGGACGGGGGATAGGAAGAGGTTCTGAGGTAGTGCACGCCATTTGCCCTGAGCTTTCTCTCCAGAGACCTGACCCCTTTGTGACATGAGGGCACCTAGCTCGAGGCACCCCGAAATGACACATGCAGCAATGCGTGGTTTGCCCCTTACCCTGCCCCTGGCCTCCTCCCTGTTTCTTTGCTCTAACTGCCTCCTCTGCCATCCATGCCCAGCCCTGAAATCCACACAGCTGTTTCCAAACACCCACTGCAACTCCGGGCCCCCAGCCCCTTCCGGGCACCGGGCATCTGTCCCCTCCTCTCTCTCCTTCCCCCAGTTCTATCACTTTCTAACATACAGTATATTATTTACCGATGATGTTTAGTATGTGTCTGTCTTCCCCACAAATTTTAGTTCCCTGGAAAATTGGCTGTTTTATTCCTGGATGTGTCTGTGCCACGTACCTGAAACCGTGCCTGGCACTCCGTGGGCATCTAAGGGTCAGGTCATTTACTGGCAGGTGATGCGCTCTGCGGACAGAGGCATGTGCATTCCTGGAGGGGTCGGTTCCCTCCTGGCTGGGTCTCCACCTTACCGGCGCTCTCTGCCTCCCCCTCGCCTTTAAGTTGAGGGAATATGTCGTCAGGTGCCCCGCCTGTGGAGACAGGTGCCCCCGGCTGCCGCGGTGGGAGGGGGCGGGAGGTCCTGAGGCCCCCTCTCTCTGGCCTCAGGATGGCGAGATGGTCCCCTACAGCTCCGACAGCCAGAGCAAGCGCAGCCTGCGGCGGCTGGGGAAACACTACCACTTCCAGATCCAGGACCTGTGGCCCGAGGACGCTGGCATCTACGAGGTCAAGGTGGAGGACGCTGAGGTCTTCTCCACCGAGCTGGAGGCCAAGGGTGAGGGGGCGGGGCCCACACAGGGTCACGGTGGGGGGCGGTGACTGGGGAGGACAATGGGAGCCGACGCCCAGGGGTCCAATGAGGGGCTCTTCCTGGAGTTTCGGCCGGGGCTGGCGTTCTCTTGGTGCTGACACACCCGCCCCTCGGCCGTCAACCATCCTCAGCTCAAACTAAGTGCCGGCCCCTGGCGCCCCCCTTCCTGTGCTCTCCTTCCTCTCCCGCAGCCCCCCACAGGGCTCTCCATCCGAGTGGGCACACGGTACCCCCTACAGACCTCGGCCTTCTTGCCTCCCACGCCCCCTCCCACCTGGGAACAATCCCTTCCTCCCTCCCCACACCCTGTCCCATCCCCACGAGCAGCTATGTGCACCCCCCCCCCAAGCACCTGCCAGCCAGGGGCCCTGGGGAAGGCAGCTGTGAGCATAAGGGGCGCGCTGAGCGGGACAGAGGCAGAAGGGGGAGACCTCCAGCAGGCCTGGCAGGTCTGGGCCGGGCTCGGAGAAGCCTGGAGGTGACGTGGGGTGGGAGGAGCCCACAGACGGGGCACGGATCCTGATGGGACCTCCCTGCTGCTTCCCCGACAGCCATCCCGCCCAGGGTGGTGGTCCCGCTGGCCGAGACCCGCTGCGAGGAGCACGGTGACGCCGTCTTCGAATGCGTTCTCTCCAACACCTGCCCCAACGCCACCTGGAAATTCAAGCAACGGCCGCTCCAGCCTAGCGACAGACATGAAGTGATTGTGTCCCCTAACGGGCTGACCCACCAGCTGGTGGTGAAGGGGGCCCGTCTCTCAGACATGGGTCCCTACTCCCTGGATACGGGGCTCTACACTTCCAGCGCCTGGCTGGTGGTCGAAGGTGAGTGACCGGCCCTGTCTCGGCCTCCGCCAGGGCCAGCTGTCAGGAGGGCACACGGAGGCGGGCAGGGGCTGCCTGTGGTCAGTCACCGCTCCGGATGATGCCGCCCCTCCGTAGGTCTGTCTTGACTGCTATGCGGGCTTGTCACAGCCGGTCGGTGCCCTCAGCTGCCCGGGCTCCACTGGGCCTGTGGGGTGACTCTGGGGACACAGACCTAAGATGGGGTCCTCATCAGGGCTTGGGAGGAGCCCTGCAGCAGGCTGAGGAACACCTGTGACTCCCCCGCCCAGGCTTTTGGGTTCCAAGTGTTCCCCGGAGATTGTAAACTGGGCGTTTGTAAGGCAGCCACCAGGGCAGCGAGACCTTTGGAAACCATGACCACCCCGCTCCCAGCCCCCAGCAGTCTGGTCAGCCGGGGACTGGCTCATGCATTGCCCCCAAGGTCCTCGGGAACTGCTTGGCGTGGGGGGTGCAGGACCGGGAGTGGGGAAGGCATCTCCCCACCACTGAGCTGCCCGCCCTGTCTCCCTTCTCCGATGGTCCGCTTGGTTCTCGACGGGGGAGACGAAGGGTCAGAAGCAGCTGGGTTCGGACCACTGACCATCGGCCTGAATCAATGGGTGTTTTCTCTGTCTCTCCTTGGGGGCGTTGACCTCTCATGCAAGCTGGGAAGGATACTGGCCTCCTGACCACCAGTGCTGACCACCAAGTTCAGGTGCCGGGAGCCCCAACCTCAGATGCAGAAGACTCCAGGAGCACCAGCAGCAAGAGGGGGGCACACAGACAGCAGGGCCCCAAGAGGGGTGCTCTGGGGGGGGCCGGGCTCCAGCTCACAGCCGGCCGAGGCAGAGGTGGCCTTGGTGGGCGCGGCTACTCCTTGACGGGAGACGAGGGGCCAGCGGACGCAGCCTGGGGCCCTGGGCAGGCGGGAAGGGGCTTTCTGGAAGCTGAGGGAGACTCAGCCACTCTTCCTGGGGAAAACCAGCTCCACAGAGACTGGGGCTGGGACGCGAGCCTGCCGGGGGGGCCCCACCCACAGGGAGAAGGTGTGGGGTCCGGGCTGGGCCTCACGGAAGGTCGCCAGCCCGACGGCAGCAGAGGCGGTGACAGAGACGATCGCGGGGGGCCAGCAGGGGCCTGGGAGGCTGGGGTGGGAGATCGAGGGGGCAGTGGAGAAGGATGGGGGCGCAGCGAGGACAACAGGAGCCAGCTGGGTAGGCACAGCCAGGGGGGGGCTCCCCTGGGCGCGGGGACGGGAGAGAGGGCCCTGCAGGGCTCACAGTCTGGTTCTGGACGGTCTGGGTCGGAAAGGGAAGTGATGGGGCAGAGCCTGAGCCAGGTGGAGGGAAGGGACGGACTGAGCAGGGGAAGGGGGAGCGGGGAGACCGGGGCTGCATGGGGGAGCGGGGCTGACCGGGGGGAGTCCAGGGACAGCAGTGCGGCAGGAGGCCCTGGGGCCCTGGCATCTCTGGAAGGGAGGGGATGGAGCTCGGAGGCAGGCAGGGGCGCTGAGACCTGGGGCTCCCAGGGACGCGGCAACGATGACCAGGGAGAAGCGAGAGGCGTCCGGGGGGCAGGGCAGACACCTGCAGGCCAGGACTCCCGGGACCCCTCAGTGTCGGGTGGCAGAGGACTCCTCCTGGGGCGCAGGAGCTCTCGGGGCCCAGGCGAGCTTGCAGATGGGGGCCCAGGAGGTCCCGGGGGCTGGGGGAAGGAGGGCCAGGGGACAGTGGGGGCCTTGGGAGGGGCAGGCGATGGCAGGAGTCTCCCAGGTTTCCAAGGAGGGACAGCAGGTCAGAGGGGAGCTGGGGGTGCCGGCAGAATGGAGGCCGAGAGCACAGGGCCTTGGGGCGACCCTGGGTCCAGCCTCGGCCTAGGCGGGGTCCGCCCTGGGCCTGGAGTGTTGGGGTCTGGAGGAGGGGGAGGTGGTGTGGGTGGCACCCAGGTGCCCGGACTGATGGAGTCAGATCAGGGGGGTGATGCCAGCAGCCACAGGCTCACTGGGTCTCCAGGCCGGGGTGCCCAGGGGCCCGGGGGCACACGGAGGGGCACGGGTGGAGCAGGAGGCCCAGGGGCCGCGGGGACTGAGCCAGACCTCTGGAATGGAACTTGGGGCTCCGGAGAAGGAGGACCCAGAGACAAGTCAGGCTGGGAGCCTGGCTCAGGCGGACCCAGGCACGGTGACGGCTCAGGGTATTTAAGGGGACCGGGTCCTGATAGTGGGGCTGGTCACGGCGATGGCTCAGGGGCGCCAGGAGAGAGGGGTTCTGTTCACGGTGCTTGGGTACCAGGCGGAGCAGAGTCTAAGGAGGGGGGTGGTGACAGGGACGGCTCGTGGGTACCTGGGGCAATGTGGTCTGGCAGCCAAGACGGTCATGGTCCTGCAGGGAGGGGGCCCGGGACACTTGCCGGTGGCCCTGATGGAGGGCTCGTGGGTGAGGCCGGGCTGCGCCCACAAACCTGGGACACATCGGGTGGCAGGGCGGATGCCGGCCCTGGGGGAAGCCATCATTTCAACGGTGGCCTGGGCCACCCAGGGACAGTGGGGTCCGGGGGCAGAGGTGGCCTCGGGGCCTCTGCCACAGTGGAAGCTTTAGGGGAGACACATGGGGGAGCAGAGCCAGGGGACTCTGGGAGAATACAGCCTCGGGGTTCGGCTGGAGATGCTGGGGGCTTCAGAGCCTCAGGGGCAAAAGGGCCCTTTGGAGAAGGAGGCCACAGAGATGCCTCTGGGGGTCTGGGGGCCACAGAGCCAGGCTCTCTGAGGGCAGGGGGCAGAGTGAGTGATGGGGATGCGGCCCGGCGCCCCGAGGCCCGGGCTCCTGACCCTGGGGCCAGTTCCGACAGCCAGAGGTCCAGTGGGCCTGGCAGTGTGCTGGGTCACCTGGACGGGTCTGGAATTCCAGGGCCGCAGCCAACTGGGAGCAGGACAGGTGCTGGAGGAGGGCCTGGGGGGGTGGGGCCCGGGGGGGAGGGGGGCTTTCGAGACGGTTCAGGGGGCCTGGGAGGAATGGGGCCCGGGGGGGAGGCAGGCTACAGGAAACATTTGGGGGCTCCTGAGGGAGTGGGGTCAGGGGCTCAGGCAGGTCCTAAGGATGGGTTGGGAGGGTCTAGGGTGCTGGGGTCAGGGAGTGAGGCAGGCTACAGGGGAGGCCCAGGAGGGTCTGGGGAGATGGGGCTAGAGGGTGAGAAGAGCTATAGGGATGGCCCTGGGGATGGCGCTCTGGCTGCAGGGGAACGTGGCGGTGGGTCCAGGGGCCCAGCAGCCGGGGGGCACGGGTCAGGGTACTGGGCAGCACCAGAGGGGTCTCACGGTGGCACCAGCCCCAGGGGTGGTCCCAAGACAGGCAAGGAGCCAGGTCTGGAGAACGGGGCTGGTTTGGGGGTCAGCTCTGGGGTGCCCGGAGCGGTGGATGCTGCAGCTGGGCAGGGCTCCAGGATCAGCCCTGGGGGCTCTGCAACCTCGGGGACTGCAGGGTCACCTGGGGACAGAGGGGCTTCCCGCGGGGAGGACGGTTCTGCAGACCAAGCCGGTGTGGGGGCTTCTGTCGGTCTTGATGGCCGGGGGGCAGTGGAGAGGGGGGCCTGGGCAGGGACAGCAGCTCCGGGATCCAGGCACGGAGGGGGCGCCTGGGAAGCAGGCCCGGGCACAGCAGGCAGGGGAGGGGCCGCTGGCCAGGGAGGACTGGGGCCCCAGGGAGCCGAGGACCTGCCGCTGGGGGGCAGGAGGCCAGCAGACGGGTTGGGGACAGGCACAGGCGAGGCTCCGGACAGAAGCCGGAGGCCCGGGCAGAGGGGCAAATCCACATCTGAGCCCGTCGAGGGGCCAGGGGTTAGCCACGCTCGGGCCTCAGGCTCGGAAGACCAGGGGTTTGAACGGGGCCGTGCAGGAGCTGGGAACCAGACCCCCAGCTCCAGGGTGGAAGATGCGGGTTCCAGTGGGACCCAGGAAGGGCCAGAGGGCTCCAGGCGCCGGGCACGGGCCACAGGCCAAGGAGAGGCTGGTGGGAGGCAAGGCCCCGGGTTCGTGGAGAGCAAAGGGTCAGGCCCTGGACAGGACAGGTCTGCGGGCTCGAAGGACTCGGATGGAGCCTGGAATGGCCTCGAAGGTCCTTTTGGCAGCAAAGACTCCGGGGACAGAGGCAGGGACATCGGGGGCTCGGGTTCCCAGCTCAGCAGAGGATGGAGAGGAGAACGGGGGCCCCTGGGGAAGCAGGGGCCCCTGGAGGCTGAGAATGACAAGACCCAAGGCCCAGGGGCCCTGACGGAGGACGGCGGACAGGGAGGAGCAGAGCCGGGCAGGTCAGCCAGGAGGCCTGGCCCACGCGGGAGCGGCTCCCAAGCACAGTCCGGGGCCAAGGCTGGACGCGCAGAGAGGCTGGCGCTGGACGAGGCCAGAGGCAGGGGACAGCGGCCTGAAGGAAGGGACACAGGGTGCTCGGGGGAGACTCCGCATGAGGACGGGCACTGTGAGCACCCGAGTCATCTGGGCAGCCAGAGAGGTGGCACGGAGGGCAAGTCAGATGTCAGCAGCCGAGGAAAGGAGGCCACGAGGAGTCCCCGATCCAGGCACACCCCTGGCACGGGCGGTTTCTTCGAGGAAGCCCGCGGTAGGCGCTCTCAGGCCGGCCGGCTCCGTCCTCCTGCCCCGGCCTTTGTCCCTGCCAGTGCCCCCATGGGGGGGCCTCCTCCCGGTCCACGGAGCAGCTCCTCCGCCTTGTGCAGGTGGGAGCCAGGCCAAGGGACTCGGGGTCTCCGGGGCACCTGTCTGGTTGCACCATGTTCAAATCTCAGAGTTGTCACAGTAGCTCTGGGGGTCCCCAGGCATCCATCTCTGTGACTCCGGGGACCCCACCCCTGAGCACCCCAGATCTCCTGCACTAGGCCCAGCCCTGCTGAGAAGAAGGGGAGGGTTTCTGCTGCCACTGGCGGCCTCCCAGGGTGCCACACAGGCAGTGGCCGAGGAGGCTGGGCCTCGGGGGCACCTGAGTGACCACCGGCCTCTGCCTGGGTCTCTCCAGCCCCCCTGGGCCACTTCTCCCAGGGCCTGGCCGACACGGAGGTGAAGCTGGGAGAAGATGCCACGCTCTCCTGCACCGTCAGCCGGGACCTGGGACCGGGCACCTGGTTGAAAGACGGCGTCAAGGTACTGGCCCCACACACCTCTGCCGGCCAGCTGGGGCCGGGGACAGCGGGGAAGCAGAGGGGAGGAGAGGGTGCATCTGCTCTTCGCTTCCTCGTGCATCTGGGCTCCACACAGCCAGCAACTCGGGGAGTTTACCACACACGGGGTTCAGACTCACTGTGTCCCGATCAGCTCCCCAACACTGCGCTGCTCTCAGCCGCCCCAAATGCCCTTCCTGCCCCTACACCTGCTGAGTTCTACGCATCCTATAAGGCCTCGGACAAAGGCCACCTTGTCAGCCTGGCCGGGCACAGCCTCTCGGCCCGGACGGCCAGCTGCCCTTGGCTGTCCTCTGGGGAGCAAGCACAGCGCTCGGGCCGGGCATCACGAGGCTGCCTCCCAGGCCACTTGTGTGCCTCTGGTTTCAGCTACGACGTGGGCTAAGGACTGTACCCACCGCGTTGGGTAGTAGCCACCCTCAGGGACGCGGTGGAGCCCCGAGCGCTAGCACACGGCTGGCCCACGGTCACCTCCGTCACGGCTGGCACTGTGCCTCCTGCAGCCGCCGAGTGAAGCCCCGGCTGGCGGGCGCGGAGGGAGGAGCGGGGGCTGGCGGTGACCCTCCACACCGCCTCTTTGCAGCTCAGCCCCCAGGACGGGCTGGTCTTCCAGCGGGACGGGCTGGTGCACAGGCTCCTCATCACCTGCGTGCAGGAGGCCCAGGCCGGCAGGTACACCTTCGTGGTCGGCGACCAGAAGAGCGAGGCCACCCTGACGGTCCGAGGTGAGGCCCAGCCGCCCGCCCACCTGGCGGCTGCCCCAGCGATACGCAGACACCCGAATGTGTCGCCGTCTGCAGCCAGTGTCCAGCTCACCTGTCTGACAAGACGGCTTTAGAGTCCCTTGTCAGCAGTCCCTGGGGGCCCCGGGGGGCCCTGGTCCCTCCCGCTGCAGACGAGGTGGCTGCCACATTCGTGCCCCAGAGGTGGGGTGGGACTCCTGACCCGGCCCCGACTCCACCTCGGTGCCCAGTGCCCTGCACCTTTGACCCCCTTGCCCTGTTACATCCCTAGACCCCCCGGTCATTACTCCCGAGGCGACACAGAGCCTGAAGGAGCCCCTGGTGGTCAAGGCCGGGAAGCCGCTCACGGTGAAGGTCGCCTTCCAGAGTCGCCTGCCGGTCCAGGCCATCTGGACGAAGGACGGGGCCGAGGTGGATGGCTCCAGTGGCCGAGGGGCCCAGGTGGCCCTGGGCGACGGCGTCACTCGACTGTGCCTCCCCAGCGCGGGCCGGCAGGACAGCGGCCAGTACAGCCTGACGCTGAGGAGCAAGGGCGGCTCCGTGCAGGCCGAGGTCACCGTGCACGTCATAGGTGCCCGGCCCTGGCTCTGATCCCACCTGCTGACTGTTCAGATCGAAAGCTGCTGCGCCCCTCCCCCGCCCCTCCCCCTCCCCTCCCCCTCCCCCTCTGCACTGTGGGAAGGAGCAGTTTCGAGGTCAAGGCGGGGGGCCTGACTGTGCTGACACCCTGGGCCCTGCGACAGCTGCTGGGAGGGATGGTGGCCCGGCCCTGAGTGGTGCCGGCTGGAGGGCTGATGGGCAGCTGGGGTCGGGGCTGGTGCCCCCCATGGTCCCTCCCTGGGCGTGTTTGCACGTGTGTGCGCACGCATGAGTGTGTGTGTTTGCACGTGTGTGTGCACGCGTGAGTGTGTGTGTGTGCACGTGTGTGTACACGTGTGTTGGGTGGAGACCAGGGACACCTCTAGGACCCACCTGTGGCTCTGGGGGTTCCACCCACAGCAGGCTCATCTGATGACCGGGGTGGGGGGTCCAGCATGGCTTCCCTCCAGCTCCTCTGACACCCCTTCTCTTCCTGCTCCTCTCCCGGGTCCCAGACAAGCCCCAGCCGCCCCAGGGCCCCCTGGAGGTGCAGCACTGCCGAGGGACTGGGGTCTGCCTGCAGTGGCGGCCCCCACGGGACAGCGGGGGCCGGGCCCTGGAGCACTACGTGGTGGAGAGGCGGCAGGACGGCCGGAGCACGTGGCTGAAGGTGGGCGAGCCCCCCGCGGAGAGCACCAGCTTCACGGACGCCCAGGTGGAGCAGGGCAAGAAGTACACCTTCCGCGTGCGGGCCGTGACCTCGGAGGGGCCTGGGGAGGCCCTGGAGTCGGAGGAGGTGCTGGTGGCTCCTGAGGGTGAGCAGGAGGCCGGGGTCACCTCAGGCTGCCCGCTGCGCCCACGTGGAGGGACGCACCCTGGGGGCCCCGTGGAGACTCTGTCCCAGTTCCCCTTGGGATCTGGAGACAGGATGCATGGGTCTCCTCCAGTTGTGTCTGTCTGGATGGAGGGGACGGACACACAGCCCACTCTCGGGACCCCGGCTGGGCTGGCACTGTCCTCACAGATGCCTGTCAAGAACACGCACCGGGGCTTCAGGGCTGGCTCGAACCCTGGCCCCAGCGTTTCTGTGTTCCCCTCACTCCCTGAGCAGCCAGAACGGGGTCCCCCAGCCCCTGGCTCGGCCCCCGACACTCCCCTGGAAGGGACCGTGAGGCCCCCCCGGACCCCAGGAGCTCTCCTCGGCCTCTGGCTGACCGCGCCTGCTCTGCCCCCAGCGCTCCCCGGGCCCCCTTCGGCCCCAACCATCCTGTCGGCCTCCAGCAAGAGCATCTCTCTGACGTGGACGGCGCCCCGAGGCCCGGGCAGTGCCCACATCCTGGGCTACCTGATTGAGAAGCGCAAGAAGGGGAGCAACAGCTGGGCCCCGGTGACCGAGCAGCCCGTGGCTGGTGAGCGGCCTGAGTCCCCGCTGTGCCCGCCTGCTCCGGGGTCCCGTGGCGCCCACCTGCTGGACCGGTTCTGCCCCTGGGGTCTGGTGCCCTGACCGGAGTGGGGGGTTGGCACCCAGTGTGAAGAGGGTGGAGATGCTGTTCAACTCCTACAACACTGGGTGCCCCCCACCCCCACTTCCCCAACAAAGACTCCTGGGGCTGAAGTGCCCGCCGTGCTGAGGGGCGACCCTGGGACGGAAGCCGGAAGTGGAGCTGTTAGCCCTGTCCTCCCGTCTGTCCTCCCGTCTGTCCTTGACCTTGGGCACCTCCCCCCATCCAGGCCTTAGCTTCCTCATCCACAAGATGAGCCACTCAGACACTTGCCCACGACCACCCAGCTCCGTGGCAGGGATTCGGGGCGACCCCTGAGCAGCGCCCTCTGTGGAGGGGCTGAGTCACCGCTGGCACAGCTGGGCTGGTCTCCTCCAGAGCCCGCAGGCCCGTGGGCGCACTGACACGTTCGCCTTTCACAGAGCGGAAGTGGACGGTGACCGACTTGAGGCCCGACTGCCAGTATGACTTCCGGGTCACGGCCGTGACCCCCTCGGGCCCCGGGCAGCCTGGGCCCCCGTCGGAGGCCGTGTTTGCGCGGGACCCCATGAGTAAGTGGGTGGCAACCAGGGTGAGGGCGGTGGGGTGAGCTGGGGACAGTTCTGAAGCCGGCGGGACAGGCAGGAGGGCAGGACCAGTCATATCTTGGGGTACTGGGGAGGCCTGAGGCCCCAAACAGACCAAACAGGCCCCAATGCCAGGCAGCAGGGATTAGAGGAGCCCCCCACCCCCACCCCCACTCCCCACCCCCGCCGAGGTCACTTCTGCTCTTCAGCCTCTGGGCAGGTCAGTGCCGCCTGCCCCGCCCTGGGACCATGTGCCCACCGGAGTGAGGGGCCATCACCCCTGCGGGCAGGCGGGGGTCACGGCGGAACCTCAGTTCTCCGTCCAGCGGTGGTTTGCTCCCCGCCTGTCGGGTTAGCGATGTGCCCCGGCCAGGAGTCCTGACCCGCTCTCTGCCCTTGAGAGTCGTCCGGCCTAGAATGGCGTTTGCTGGTGCTTGGTCTCGGGAGCAGCAGGGTAGAGAGGTGCCCACGCCGTTCCGACGATGGCAGCCACCCGAAGACGTTCGACGTGGAGCCTGTGAAACCGCCAGTCATGCAGGACACCTGTCCTGCGTCACGGACCCAAATTTCCCCAGTTCGAGCAAAACACCTTTCCCTGAAAACGCTTATCTCAAACCTCGCTGGGAGGCACACAGCCTGGGGAGCAGCTCCAGACCCTCCGAGAAGGCAGGGCTGGCTGGGGGCTCGGAGCGCCGGATGAAACGATGCGTCAGTCTAGTCCTTGGGGTCCTGGAGCCTACGAACCCACCCAGCAGAAGAGCGGGAATCCCGGGGGGATGGTTGGGGGAGGTTGGCAGGCTGCTGAGTGAGTGGAATGAGTCGGGGAGGCTTCCTGGAGGTGGTGCCATTTCTGCCATTCCCATGGTGCTCCCCCAGGACCCCCGGGGCCCGTGAGGGACCTCCAAGTCACAGACACGTCGCACACCAGCATCAGCCTGCGCTGGGCCCCGCCAGACGATCAGGAGGGGGACGAGGCGCAGGGATACGTGGTGGAGCTGTGCGTCTCGGGCAGCCTGGAGTGGGCCCCGTGCCATGGGGGCACCGTGCCCGTCACCACCCACACAGCCAAGGGACTTCGGCCCCAAGAGGGCTACTTCGTGCGGGTCACCGCAGTGAACAGCGGGGGCTGCAGCCAGCCCACCATGCTGGACGTGCTTGTGTACGCCATGCCCACCCCTGGTGAGTCCACCTCCCCCCCAACCGCCCCCTGTGCCCGCTGAGCCAAGCTCCCCTCCCCGGTCCCCCCAAGTCTCATTTATCGAGCATCTAGCAGGTGCCAGACGGGAGCTCCGCCTCCCAGCACGGCCAGGAGGTCACAGGTGCTGCTCAGCCCGAGTGGCTCCGCAGGTCAGGGGGGCCCAGCTTCGAAGCAGCTGACCCATCTACTGGCACTGAGCCGGGCACCCCAGCCGGGCTGTCACCGTAACAGAGAGGGAGATGTGCGTAGTAAAAAGCCCACTGCAGCCGGGTCCAGACTCCCGGGGCCGCGTCCCGGCTCTGCCCCGTCCCTGGGGTCTCAGGCACGTCGCCCCCCGTCTCAGATTGGCAGCCGCCCGCAGAAGGAGCTGGCTGGCTTCCTCAGTGTCCGACCTGCGCCGTCAGGGCTGCGTCCGTGCGGCTGGCCCAGCCCGCCTTGCTGGGGACCGGGGCTGGGGCCCACCTGCAGAGGGAGGGGACAAGCCACCTTTTGTGTTCCAGTCTCTCCCAAGTTCCTGGTGGACGACAGCTGCAAGGAGTCCCTGATGGTCAGAGTGGGGGACACCGTTCGAGTGCCTGTCCGCTTCGAAGTGAGTGTATCTCCCCAAGGGGAGTGAGGAGGGGGTTCATCACGACCCGGGGAGCCGGGCTCAGCCCCGTGGCTCCTTCCCTTCTGACCGGGGCTCAGGCTGGACATGGGGCCAGAGTAAGGAAGGAAGGAGGAGGGTCCTTCATGACGGTCCGCCCCTGCGCCCTTCCAGCCCGGCTCCCGGAACCCTGTCCCTAGCACGTGCCCTGCTGGCCGGCTCCAGTGCACAGCTGCCTCAGAACCTTCCCATCCTCCTTCCCCAGGCTTCCCCCATGCCGGAGGTGACCTGGCTGAAGGATGGCCTGCCCCTCTCGAAGAAAAGTGTGACCTTCACCAAGGACGGCCTCACCCAGCTGCTGGTCCCCGTGGCCAGCCTGTCGGACAGCGGCGTCTACACCGTGGTGCTGAGAAGCCCACAGGGGAAGGAGGCCACCTACACCTTCGTCCTCAGGGTGGCTGGTGAGGAGGGCTGGGCCCCAGGTCCCGCTGTCCCCCTCCCGGGCCTGGTGAGCAGTCACCTCACCCAACCCTCCTACGCACTGAAGACAGAAAGGAGGGAGGCCCTGGGAACTGGGGTCCCTGTTCTCTGCCTGGGGTCTCAGGGCGGTTACCCACAGCCCCTCCCTGCTTCAGTCAGTCCTGGCTGAGCCACTGAGCATGGCCGCCCCTGTGAGCTCACTCAGAGCCACAGGAAAGCCTGTCTGGGGTCCCCGCAGGAGGGAGGGTCCCCCTCCACATGGCCTGCCAAGGAGGTAGCTCTGGGCACAGAGATGAGCACACACAGGGCTCTGGAACGTGGCCCCTGCCCCATCTACATGCTGGGCCCCTTCACTTACAGGCCAAAGTGAGTTGCCCACCCCCCTGAGAACGTGGGGACCTGGGGAGGGCCACCCCGAGGCCCATGTGTGTCGTCTAGTGCCCCAAACTCAGCTCTTCTGGCCTCTCTCCCTCAGCAAAGCCGCAGGCGCCCGGGCCCATCCACCTGCAGGAGAACGTGCCCGGGACGGTGACAGCCGAGTGGGAGCCCTCTCCCGACGAGGCCCAGGGCGTCCCGCTGTACTACACGGTGCTGATCCGCTCTTCGGGGAGCGGCTCCTGGGTGGAGGCCGCCGACCGCGTCTACACCAACCGCTTCACCCTCCTGGGCGTGCTCCCTGGCCACGCGTACCACTTCCGAGTCGTGGCCAAGAACGAGCTGGGGGCGAGCGAGCCCTCAGACAGCAGCCAGCCTTGGTGCACCCCACGGCAGCGCGGTGAGCCCCGCGCCGTGGCTCCGTGACCCCAGGGCGGCGGGGAGCGTGGGTGCAAGGGCGCCGTGGCAGAGGTGGCCGGAGCCGTCTCCATGTGGGTGTCTGCGACCCAGGGAGCCTTTGGGCGGCGGGCAACAAGGCTGCTGCCTCTCTTAGAACACTGCAGGCCACAGCCACACGGATGGGGCTGCAGAGCAGACACGGGAAAGGCAGGGGCATGGCTCCATGTTCCCAGAGCGCAGGAACGCCTGGGGGGCTCCCCACCACCTTGTGAGGCTCCGCTGGGCTTTTCTTCTTTCTCCTTCTGATCCCATTATGTTCCCGTCTGTCCCTGGTTTCTTCTTTCTCCTGATCCCGCTTTGTTCCTGTCTGTCCCTGGTTTCTTCTTTCTCCTTCTGATCCCGCTATGTTCCCCTCTGTTCCTGGTTTCTTCTTTCTCCTTCTGATCCCATTATGTTCCCGTCTGTCCCTGGTTTCTTCTTTCTCCTGATCCCGCTTTGTTCCTGTCTGTCCCTGGTTTCTTCTTTCTCCTGATCCCGCTTTGTTCCCCTCTGTCCCTGGTTTCTTCTTTCTCCTTCTGATCCCTCTATGTTCCCTCTGTTCACGTTTTCTTTCTTTTCGCCCTTCGATCCCTGCTATGTTCCCCTCTGTCCCTGGTTTTCTTTCTTTCTCCTTCTGATCCCGCTATGTTCCCGTCTGTCCCTGGTTTCTTCTTTCTCCTTCTGATCCCGCTATGTTCCCCTCTGTCCCTGGTTTCTTCTTTCTCCTTCTGATCCCGCTATGTTCCCCTCTGTCCCTGGTTTCTTCTTTCTCCTTCTGATCCCGCTATGTTCCCCTCTGTCCCTGGTTTCTTCTTTCTCCTTCTGATCCCACTATGTTCCCGTCTGTTCCTGGTTTCTCCTTTCTCCTTCTGATCCCCTCCGTCCCTCTTCATGGTTTCCTCGTCTCGATCCCTTGTTTCTCCTTTTCTTCTTCTCCCTGCCCGCTATGTTCCCGTCTGTCCCTGGTTCGTATTCGCCTGTCCCGCCATGTTCCCGTCTGTCCCTGGTTTCTTCTTTCTCCTTCTGATCCCGCTATGTTCCCGTCTGTCCCTGGTTTCTTCTTTCTCCTTCTGATCCCGCTATGTTCCCGTCTGTCCCTGGTTTCTTCTTTCTCCTTCTGATCCCGCTATGTTCCCGTCTGTCCCTGGTTTCATTCCAGACAGGGAAAGCCTAGGGAAGGCCCCCAGCCGCCGGCAACCCGAGCGGAGCCAGAAGCCCCGGTTCCTGGTCGGCCTGCGCTCCCACCTGCTGCCGCAGGGCTGCGAGTGCCGCATGAGCTGCGCGGTGCAGGGCTGGCCCCGGCCCCGCGTCTCCTGGTTCAGGAACGGCGAGAGCCTGGAGGGAAAGCCCACCGTGCACAGCACTGACACGCTGGGTGTGTGCTCCCTGGTCATCGCCAGCGTCTCCCCCCAGGACAGCGGCCTGTACAAGGCCGTGGCCGAGAACACGCTGGGCCAGGCTGTCAGCATGGCCACCCTCCTTGTCATAGGTAAGGTGCCGCCCTGGCCAGGGCCAAGGAAGTCAGAGGAGGGACCATCTGCCTGCTTGCAGGGGCCACAGGGCAGCTTCCTCTCTGGACTGACTGGGCTGGGGGCAGGACGCCAAGGTTCTCCGAATAGCTGCCTGTGGACTCATTGTAACTGGTCCTCACTGACCCTCACTGACCCGCACCGGCCCTCACTGGCTCTCACTGGCCCTCACTGACCGTCACTGGCCCTCACTGACCCTCACTGGTCCTCACTTACCCTCACTGGTCCTCACTGACCCTCACTGACCGTCACTGGTCATCACTGGCCCGCACTGGCCCTCACTGACCCTCACTGGCTCTCACTGGCCCTCACTGACCCTCACTGGCTCTCACTGGCCCTCACTGACCATCACTGGCCCTCACTGACCCTCACTGGCTCTCACTGACCCTCACTGGCCCGCACTGGCCCTCACTGACCATCACTGGCCCTCCTGGGGCCCTGATCTTGCTCATCTATAAACGTGGTATTTGGATGAATGGCTCTTGGCACGAGGTGCTCCATGTCCCCCACCTCAGCTCCCAGGGTGGCCTTGTGACACCTGTCAGCAGGAGAGAGGTTTCTTCTGTGTGTGCTCCACCCATGTGCCTCCACCCATGTGCTTCATCCATGTGCTCCATCCATGTGCCCACATCCATGTGCTCCACCCATGTGCCTCCACCCATGTGCCACATTCAGACAGAGAGCATCCCAAACCATGCTGATTCTTGCTGGTGATAACTTCTTCACAGTGAGCAGATAATGTACATTAACAAGAAAACATTTCCCCCCACAGCCATAGAAACAAATAAATAACCCTAAACACGTTTTATTATTCAGAATTGTCATTTGTGCAAACACGGCCCTTCAGCGCTGGCCCGGGATCCCCTTCTCTCTGCGCCCTGTGCCCAGGTCCTCGGGCACCAGCCAGAACTCCCTGGCGCTCTGTGTCTTGCAGAACCCAGCTCCTAGCCCTGCCTCACCCTGGGATGGCCCCGCCAGCCTCCCAGCCATGGCACAGCCACGGCACAGCCACGGCACAGCCACGGAGGAGGTCCGATGCCCGAAGTCTCAGCCCTGACCACAACGCTGGCCTGGAGAGCCAGTCCCGAGGGTCAGAGGACACTGCCCGGAGCCCCAGGGAGACAGCAGCGAGGGCCTTCGGGAGAGGCTCCGCCAGGAAAGCATGGAGTCCTCGGGGAAGAAAAGGAAGAACTGGGGACACCAGCCCCCAGCCCCACTGAACAGGATAACAGCGGCCTCTCCCCTCACCACCCACTGGGCTTCTCCTTCCTCTCGAGAGGACACGGGAAGAACCTGCCTGCAGGCTGGAGGCCAGGCCCTTGGGGGGAAGAGCTGGGCCTGCTGTGAGCTCAGGGAGTGGGGGGGAGCCTGGGGGGCAGGGCCTGAGGGCTCGCGGGTGCTGGGGCTGCTTTCTGTACCTTCCTCATTAAAACCTTCGGCTAAAGGCAACTGAGCGGGAGGTAGTGTGTGGGAGGCGGGGCTCCGGAGTGGAGCCCCTAGACTGGGCTGCCGTGGGGTGGGGGCGGGGGCCTTCGGGGTGGGGGGAAGAATGGGCTCAGCCCTGGCCGGTTGGGCTCAGAGGTTAGAGCGTCGGCCCGCGGACCGAAGAATCTGGGTTTGATTCCGGTCAAGGGCGCGGACCTCGGTTGTGGTTCAGTCCCTGGCCCCGGTCGGGGTGTACGGGAGGCAACCAGTCGATGTGTCTCTCTCACATCGATGTTTCTGTCTCTCCCTCCCACTCTGTCTGAAAATAATAAAATGGAAAAATATCCTCGGGTGAGGGTTAAAAAGGAAAGAATAGGGTCAGAATCTTCGGACCGCGGGGCCAGCGCCGTCTGCGGTGTGTGTGGGGGGGGCTACTCCTGGGCGTGTTTCCTGCTGGTCAGTGTTTCCGAAGCTCCCCAGCCAGGGTGGGCCTGAACCTCCCCTTCTTTCACACCAGCTGTGAGCTCTCCTGTCCCAGGGCAACAGGGAGCCAGCAGCTCAGGCTGGAGTCAGAGTCTGGGGAGCCCCCCTCCCCCCCCCAGTCTCTTCCTGACTCCTAGGAGGGGGGCAGGGGGCAGGCAAGGCCTCAGCCTCCTCCTCCGGTCAAGCAGCCTGCCATCCCAGACCTGACCACCAGGTGGTGCCGCAGGTTCTGCAGTGGTTGGAAGGAGGCAGAAGGAGAAATCTGGGGACATTCTGGGGCAGGGGCACAAAAGGGGGGCAGAAGGTGGGCTGGGGCTAGCGGGGCCACCAGCAGGCTCTCCCTCCCGCAACTCTCCCCAGGTGTCTCTGGGGGACATTCTGCTGGACACAGGAGCTCTGGACCCGCCTGGCTAAGGGTCCTGTATAGTCCCATCCTCTGGACAACCTCCGAGCCTCCACCTGGCCAGACCTCAGCTTGGAGTCTCCCGGAGGCCAGGGCTGGGGCTCTGGGTGTCACTGAGAGAGGCTTCGGGGTGGAGGGCAGGAGGCAGGACCCTTGGAGGTCCGGGTGTCCGGATGGCCTATGGGAGTTAGGGCTCTGGGTAGGGACAGTGAGCAGGGCCCAGGCTGATAGGAGCTCTCCTGCTGTTGGCCGCCTGACCTCTCCTCGCCAGCCGTCCCTCCTGGACCCTGGCAGATGCCAGACCCCCCTCTTTCTCTGTCCTGCTGGACATGGGGTCTCGAGGTCAACGAGTGATGCGGGGCACAGCCAGAGTGACCCCCTCAGGGCCTGGGTTCAGGTGGCCTGGGCAGGGCTGCAGAATGTCCCATCAAGGACGGGGTGCCGCCCCGGCCAAGTAGGGCTGGTGGCAGGGGACACGGAGGCCGGACCCGGCCAGGGGCTCAGACTTGGAGCTGGCGGCAGCTGCTGGACAGGAAGGGGGTCCCTTCTCCCACTCTGGCCCACCTCAGCCCGGCGTTGGCAGGCGGCCAGGAGGGAGGCCCGCGGGGGTCAGCCCTGCTGCATGCCAGGACACAGTGTCCCATGGGCAGGGGACAAGCACTCTGTCGGCACTTGGCCGCAGCTGCACTACGGGAGCCCCTGGCGGGAAGCTGCCCGCACACGGCAGTCAGGTGGCTCCTCCCAGCGCGGGAATGGGGTTCGCCCTGGGCCCCTGCCTGGCAGCTCCAGCCCCCTGGAGGGCAGCCCCCTCCCACAGCCCCAGGCCCTGCAGCCCATCCTGACAGTCCTCTGTGGAGTTCTCCTCCCTGTGGGGATCCCTTGAAACTCAGCCCTGTCCCGCTGTTCCCCTTCCTTCTCTTCCCAACCCCACAAACAATTCCCACACCCGGGGGCCAGTCCTCCGGGCTGGGGATCCCCAGGGCATCCTCTCGGCTCAGGCTGGGCCATGAAGCCCAAGATGCTCAAGTGTCCCTAAGGCAGGAGCTCACCTCACCCCACCTGCCTTGAGCTGTCCCTACTCAGGGCCCCGCTGGGACCATGGGCAAGGAGCAGGTCTGATACCCCAGGGCAGTGGACCTGGGTGCCCCTCCACTCTCTGCCAGCAGCTCAGCCAGAGCAGCCCCCTCCCCGCCCAAATGCTGGGTGCATGAGGGTGTGGACCTGAGGCACTGGGGGGGGGGGCAGCAGGGCCCCAGCCTTTACTCCAAGGGCCCGCAGGCTCAGGCGAGCCCCTCCCTCTGCTCTGAGCCTGCTGGGAAGGGGACGGTCCCAGTTCTGCTGAGCTTACCAGTTTCACTCTCCTTCCTGAAGGTTTTGTTTTGTTAATGATGAGGGAGTTGGTCCCTGTTGGCTCCTCCTGGCAGCATCACCAGCCCCTGAGGCTCGTCTGCCTGGGACCCCTCTGCTCTTCTCTGGTGGGAGGGTGCTGGCCTCCCTGGGAGGGAGGGGGCTGGGGGGGCTGGGGGAGCAGGGCACTGGAGCAGCGGGGGAACGGGGGAGCAGGGGGAGTGGGGGGAGTGGGGGGAGTGGGGGTGCTGGGGGTGCTGGGGGTGCTGGGGCAGCGGGGGAACAGGGGGGAGGGGGGAGCTGAGCTCGTCGTGTTACAAGATGGTGGTTACATGAGATTAGGAAGGGCAGGGGCTGAGCTTGGCCCGGGGAGGTGGGGTGGAGGCCTCTCACCCAATTCAGGTGAGAGAGGTGTGGCTGTGCTGCTCTTGGGGACTGTGGCCAGGGGACCCATCTCTGCCCAGCCTGGCCTCGCCCAGGAGCTGCCAGCCAGCACCCCCCCTGCTGGGGAGCCAGGAAAGGCTCCCTGTGCCCACAGGAGGCCTGGCCTGGCTGCGGGTCTGAGCCCCGGAGAAGAGCACCGAGGACGACGGGTGGGGGCTTCCCCACCTCTGGGCCCAGGCAGCTGCAGGGTGGCGGCTGGCACCGCCTGGGGAGAGCCTGCTGTTGCCCGGAGCCGCACCTGCCGCCCCCCCCCCCCCCCCCCCCCGCCTGCGTCAGGGGAGCTGTCTGCGCTTGCACCGGCTTCCCAAGCGATGAGACAGCTCCCGCCTGCACCCCACGCCGCCGGCAGCTCACGCCCTGTCATCTAGGGCAGCCTGGCCCTGGAGGGCTCCCCAGAGACCCCTCAGTGAGGGTCCTGTGCCTGCCCCTAGTGCCCCCAGCAGGGGGCGGCCACCTGGAGGTGGTTCGTAGGGAAACGAAGCTGCAAGTGGACAAACCCTCTCCGTGCTCAGCCTCACAACCAGGCCCGAGGGTGGGGCTGAGCACCGGAAAGGGACCAGGGACGACAGACCGGGGCAAGTGTACCGGGCGGTGGGGCAGGGCTGGGCAGATGCTGGTGAAAACGTGCAGACGCAGGTGGGTGGGTCCAGCCCGGGCTGGTCGCTCCCAGGGCCCCTGCTGGGACAGGGAGCCTCAGCCCCCACACCCCCATGCCCCAGGCTGCCCGTGTGCCCGTGGCTGCCCACGTCAGGGACACTTTCCTCCAGCCCGGCCCCCTCGATGACCTCTGGCCACTGAGGCACGTTTCACAGGCCGTCACAGGCACCAGCCTCAAGCACACATTTTGATGCATTTTCA